GTTTTTAATTGAGCCCATTTAATTACAAAAAAATATCCCCAAACAAAATATTGAAAATTGGAGATCATGAGTGAAACATTTTCATGGAAGGAAAATGGGATGCCCTTTTCTCCCCTCCAGCTCAGATTTTAAAATGGGGAGGGCCTATTTGTACATCAAAAAAAGAGAGAGCTAAGCTTTTCTGCCCCACTGCTTCCCTGCTCAAAAACAGCAACCTGCCTTCCCCTCCCTTCCTCTCCACAAGTGCTTAAAAGCATTACCCTAACTAACTGATTAGAACAACAAGCACCCTAGTAGTTTATCAGCCATTTAATTAAGAAAAGGAACCAGCTGGTGAAAGCAACAGATTTTAACATTCTTCTTTGATTGCAAAGAAGAGATAAAATCAGGATCAAATCTATTGTGTTGCAAAACTAAATCAAACTGAAACTATTTTCTTGCTCTTTTAAATTTGTCAATGCTTATCTGTGATATTTTCATAAACTGCTTTTATAAATTATATTGATTCTATCTTTTGTCTAACAAGCTGAAGTGATCCTTAAGCCCTGATTCAGACACCTGGAGTAGCAGACCTAGATATGTATGCATATGATAATCTCTTCCACTGAATTTTGACTGCTACATTGAATCCTATTTTTGGGAGAAAAACAAGATATACATGCAATAAATGAATTGACCTATTTGTGAATGACTCCACTGAGTGTGGAGGAGAGGACTACTTGAATTTATTTTCCTATCCTCCCAAACAGCTTTGTGCCTGGCAGGATAACCATCTACAAAGTGAAGCCCATGGCTTCGTGGCGCAGAGGTTAAAACGCTGTACTGTCCTATCCTCCCAAACAGCTTTGTGCCTGGCAGGATAACCATCTACAAAGTGAAGCCCACGTAGTATAGTAGCACTGTTGTACCTCAGGGATATGGGGCTGACCCCATGCAGACTGTCTAACCAGTTGAATAGAACTGCATCCAGAATGGCTGCCTGTGCTTAGAAGTCTGCTTCACCAAAATGTAAATGTGAAATTATGTTTTGGTTTATATTTTATCAATTACTTGTTCATTATATTTTTATCTAATGTTTTATTTCAGAGAGCTCTAGGGAATTTATATGGCTTTCCTTGTATAGTTTTAAGAACCCTGTGAGGTAGGTCAGGCTGGGAACCCGAGGTCATTGTGCCAGTTTCTTGTGGAGATTTGAACCAAGCTCTCCTGAGGCCTAGGCCAACATTTCTTAACTGCTGCATAACACTGTCTTTCCTTGGCACCAGAAACATTTTGATTTTCCAAAAATGAAAGTTTTTCAAGGAAACAGGGAGTGTAGATCAGTGTATATTCATGTGTATGTAATGTGCTTTCAAGCTGCATGTATGGTAACCCTAGTAGGGTTTTCAGGGCATGTGAGATATTTAAGGAGTGTTTTTACCATAATTACCCACACCCAGTGAATTTCCGTGGTCTTAGGTTTGTCCACTTGAGTTTAATGAGATTTACTTACGGTTAAGTGTGTATACAATAGCAGCCTTAGCCTTCACATTTCTTCCATGCCAGTTCTGTGTAAAACACATTTTCAGTAGAAATCCTGTTTATTTTGCTCAGGTTATTGTTGTTGCAAACCAGAGAATAAGACTGATAACTGGATAAAAAGCGTGTTGTGTTTTTAAAACTTGCAACAGCTGCAGATAGATGCTTCTGAGACTGAGTGACACTTCCTTGCTTGGGTAGTCAGGAATGGTTGATTGAAAACCACTAAATGTTGTTCAGAGGAAACCAAGAAAAGATCAAAAATTAAGTGTTCCTTTTAATTAACTTTGTACAGTGCTTCTGTCACTCCGTATAAAAGTACAGTTTATATAGTGTGCATTTAAACATTTACAACCCACTGTTCGGTGAAACGCCAAATACGCAAGTAAACAAAAAAAATCGCTAGTGTTCAAGATTACAGTCTAAAAGACTGATACAAAAAGAAAAGGGGAAAAGTGGGAGAGTCATGTCCAAGCACTAGTTCCTTAAGTTCTAGAGTTATGCTGATGACCAGACAAAATGGAAGCTGTTCAGGGAGAGCTGGTCTATTATCCAAAGAAACTGATCTATCAATCAAAAGAAGATACAGTACAGATTTGTGTAAAATATATGTATTAATTTAGACACATTGTAGCTTTGTAAACCTGGAAATAATTATTTAAAATTGATGTACAGTATATAACTCTGACGCTCTTCCTTTTTTTACTGCCTTCAAAGTGGACATGGACTGAAAAGTTCTTGAAAGTAAGAACTGTATAATGTTGGAGACAGAACCACCTTGTACTTTCCTCTGTGCCCTTAGAAACAGAGAGTATAAGGCAGCAGCTGGAGAAAAAGTCTAAGGTTGTATAATTAGCAGTTATGCAGTTCTGACAGAACGACTTGTGTTTAGTAACCACAGGTCATTCATTCATTCATTGTTCTTTAATTGCTGCTTCTTTGAAATTAAAATGAGCTGTACTTTATTGTTATAAACAGGAAATGGCTCCTTTATGTTGTTTATAATACTTTTTGTTCTCCCTAACCTACCCAGGATACAGATTATTAACACTAGTAAGTGGTTCAATTTAGTATACAGTATATGATTTCTGTCTCTATTGTACATAAGGCTAGGAGTTTGATTATCAGACACCAACTGAGAGAAATAATTTTAAATTTCATTTATTTTTATTTGCATTTTGTTGTGGATTATATAAAGATGCATATAAAGCATCAGATAAAGTACAACTTTTTAAATATGCATTTCTTTTACTTCTAAATACTACAAAATGCTCAAACTAATACTACAAAATCCTTAAACTAAAAACCACAATTTTGTTGTTGTTAAGGGTTCTATTAGTCACTCTTCAGTCACATTGATATCAGTGGAAGTTAAGTTTACATGTGACCAGAAGTTGGAAATTTGATTCCTTGTTATGCCTCCTAGGGGAAGAGTAGCTTATGTAGCCATGGGCAAACTGCAGAGTTCCCAGGGCACCCCCATAAGAAGGGTGGTTTCCCATTCTGAAACCACTTCTGAGTACTCTACCTAGAAAACACAGGAAATGGTCGGCATAAGTCAAAATTGATTTAACAGCATGCAGTTATTATATTAAAGTAACTTTGTTGGATTCTAGTGTAAAAAATTTTAAATTATGACTTTGGAACAAGGAAGATGCAGAGTTGGTGTGTTTGAGATGATGATAAAAATCTTGGTGATTTTTCAAAAAAAGAATTGTTACTATTTTCATTTTTTATATAGTTGTTTTCACTGTTTTCATATAGCTACGATTTAGAAGTTGCAATCAGCTTGCTAGCATTAGTAATTAAAGAAGAATGTATATTAAGTGGCCTTATATTTAATAGCAAATTACTGTATTTCCAAGTTTTTCACACAGAGAAAATGATCTTAAATACTTCATTTAGTAGGAAGTGATAATTACTATAAATGAAACATTTCTATCTTAGAAGCACTTCACTTAGGTATATGGTTCCTTTGATGTACAAATGTACATCTAAATGTATTTTGGCTATTTTAAAAACTACATTGGTAGTTTCTTTTGAAATATGTATAGGCATTTAAGATTTGCTGATATAATTTTTTTAAATCCTAATATAAATCTTTAAGCACAGCAGAGAATGCCCTGATCTGTTCAACAATAGGGGATGTTTAACATATAAAGATGCCTGTGCTCTTAATGTAATCCATCTTCCTTCCAGATCACAACATAACCTGAAAGTTCTATCTTTCACTTCCTGTCAGATCATTATCAAGAGTTTTTTTTCAGGTGACAGCTGTTACTCAGATGAATCCTAGATGGGGCATAGTCCCTTAATCACATAATTAATTTTCAGTTATTTTGGAAGCTGGCAAAGAGCAGGGCAAATGTACCAAAATCAATGTAAGTGCTTGTGTTTCACATGATTGCCAGGCAAATGTCCTTTGTTAATTTTGTAGAGTTAGCTTTCCTTCAGACTTCATGCCACAGGGTAGAACAAAAGTAATACAGCTGTCTCTTTCTGTTAGGATTTCCTGAACAGTGTCTTTATGGCTTTGTTGCATCTAAATGAAAAGTCTGAATGTTGATGTCATTGCAATTTTATGCTTGTTGTCACAGCAGGGTATTATACTTACTGAACTGCAAAACTGCCCTTTTAGGCTGTAATTATCATGTGGGTTGATAAAAATAAGATAGTGAATGTTATTATAAGTTTGAAAATGTCTTGTAGGAGGTGTTAAACTGAAAAAATATGTATAGTATTGCAAAGGTATTGACTAAGCACTCTGGATATGTGGACAGCCATAAAAAGCTAATGGAAGACAGGGTTGCTTAGACAATGCTGGTTTTGTTGTCCTGTGGAGCAACAGAAGGGTTAGAAGACTGTCAGTGATTAGTGTCCCAAGAGGAATTTTGGTCCTTTGGTTTTAGATAAGAGCAGATATCTTGTAGCAATCTAGAGTAGGAGCTGTCAAACTTCCTCCAACAAACCTCCTTCAATCAAGCAAAATCTTGAAGAGCTTCTTCAAATATAAAAAGGGCAAAACAAAGAAAACTGTATATAGTGATCCTCTCTCACACATGTAATAATTTCTAGAGGGGTAGCTGTGTTTGTGATAGTAAAATACAGCATCTTGTGGTACCTTAAACACACACTTTTTTTTATCATGGCAGGCTTATGCTGCAACAAAACTGATAAATCTCTGTGCTGTAAGCCTTCTTGTTATCTTCTTTCAGGTGATCTCAGGATCCCCTAAAAGTTTCTAACATGCCATTTAGGGTTCCCTGTTTCATAGTACAAGCTAGTAAAATGTTCCATTGTCTTTACATGATAAAGAATGAATACTTCCCAAGTATTTGCAAGTTTCTCTCTGCTAGCAGTCTTTACAGTATGACATGAACATGAGAGCTGAGGAAAAGTTAAAGACCAAGGATAGAGTCTCTGTATTAATGCTGGATTCCAACATCCCACATTTTTCTTTTCTTCTTTTCTTTCTTTCTTAGGTGTGGATACTTGTGAGTACCTTCTCTCTAGTGGCAGATTTCTTGGTGAGAAAGTATGGCAGCCTTACAGCTGTATGATGCATAGATACAAACAAAGGTAAGGTTTATTTAATGTGCACTTAGGTGTAAAGTGCTATCCTATTGGGTCTTTAAATCTTTAGACTCTTGATGTAAAATTCAAAGAGCAAATAATGGTAGCATATATTTCTCCTACTTGTGCAAGGAACTCTGATCTCTGTGGTTTCTAATTATTAAAATGGCTATAATATTAATGTTATATTGCTTAACACAAAGAAATAGAACATTTATCATTTGACTGTGTTACTTAGAAGTTACTTAGAAGTATCAACTGATGTTCAAGGCAGCCTTGAAAAAGTGTTCAGGTCAGACCTATCCAGTTTGTTTGCAGTATATGCCCTACATCTGAAGAGCCTAGTGGCGCAGTGGTTAAACTACTGTACTGCAACCAAAACTGTGCTCATGACCTGGGGTTCAATCCCAGGTAGCTGGCTCAGAGTTGACTCAGCCTTCTATCCTTCCAAGGTTGGTAAAATGAGTACCCAGCTCACCATGGGGGGGGGGGGAGTATTGGCATGTGAGGGGATATTGATAGAGATCATGCTTATGCAGCAGCGGTGGTATCACAAGTGGATCTCATCTGGATCTCAATAGGGTACTGACCTAAATGTTCATGTTCAAACATATTCTTATATAAAGTAATAGTATTCAAAAAGAGGAGGGGAATTGGTTTACATATTAATTCGTTAGTGTTCAAAAAGAGATAGGCATCTAATTTTTACTGCATTTAGTCTTTCAGACTTTTTAAAATGCACATCAGTGAGGTGTTTATATGACTTGAAGCATCTGAGTTCTGAACAAGCATTGATTTTATTGGATCTTCAGAGTAAATACTATTGGAATTATGCCCTTTGTGAAGATGCCATTATCCTCACTGAAGTGAATGAAATTTGTGCATTAGTATATTTATATGGGCTAGATTTTGTGTTAATGTTAAGACTGTCCTGTACTATATGGCATATCTGTCTCTGTGTGTACACATGTACAAACATGTTTGTGTGTGTGAACTGCCTTCATTATTTTGTACTTGAAGCAAATATTTTTTTTTTACAGTGAAGCAAAAGATTGTCTCAGAGGGAAGCATATTGCATTTATAGGTGATTCTAGGATTCGTCAGCTGTTTTACTCTTTTGTAAAACTCATAAACCCTCAATATAAGGAGGAGGGAAACAAGGTATGATTTTATGTCTTTAATTGTCAATGGTAGTTACATATAAAATTACAGGGAAACTATGTACTTTCTAAGAGCATGAATATAAAGGCATTTCTGTGGAAAAAATTTGGCTCTGTTCAAGACTTCTTATTCCCATACAAAATTTTGTTTATTTGGAAGTACAACGAACACCCAGAACCTTCCTCCTTTTATTTCCTGATTCCCTCATCTAGCTCTGTAAGATTTTTTTTGGCTTGATTAAGTCTATTTAGGTGGGACGTGGTGGCGCTGCAGGTTAAACCGCAGAAGCCTCTGTGCTGCAACGTCAAAAGACCTGCAGTCGTAAGATCGAATCCATACGACGGAGTGAGCTCCTGTCGCTTGTCCCAGCTTCTGCCAACCTAGCAGTTTGAAAGCATGCAAATCCAAGTAGATAAATAGGTACCACCATGGTGGGAAGGCCACGTGACCATGAAAGATTGTCTTTGGACAAACGCTAGCTCTGTGGGTTGGAAACGGAGATGAGCACTGCTCCCTAGAGTCGGACATGACTGGACAAATTGTCAAGGGGAACGTTTACCTTTTACCTAAGTCTGTTTGCCATTATGTCCAAACCAGGAAATTGTGACTTGAATATGCCTGAGTTGTAAGGGCTGTAGAGGGCTGTTTCATCATTTGCTGTCCTGGTTTGTAAGCAGTGCTTACATGACATATCTTCCTTATATCAGGACCACGGTTCCTCCATCTCCCACCCTGTGATTTTTAGAGTTAGAAATAAAAACACAAGTCGAGATTAAGCATTTAAGATGCATAAAGTAATGGATTTCTGGAGAGTGGCATAATTTGTATAATTTGTTTAGCTTTTTATGATTTATACAGTAATGGATTTCTGGAGAGTGGTATAATTTATTCGGGAATGTTCTTGTTTTATTTTATTTTACTTTTTGACAGCATGGAAACATTCATTTTGAAGAGAAATCTTCATCTTCTTTGTTTAAAGTGGTAAGCATAACTGGTTATCTTTTCTACATTTTAAAAAAGAAAGGAAATTGAAGTATTTGTGAAAGTAGTATCTGCAAATTATGCAGTTACACACTACCATGAAAAGATTATATTAATCTCTTTAAGGTGTTTTCTCTTGGCTGTATTCTTTTTGGGGTCAGGAAGAAAGTGAAATAAATGCTTTGAAAAATTTAAAGGAGCTAAAATGTACATAAAAGTAATCAATATTAATACAATGGTGCCTCGCAAGACGAGCGCCCTGTTTAACGATGAAATCGCATCACGACAAACTTTTTGTGATCGCAAAAGTGATCGCTTTACGATGTTTTAAATGGGGTTCCTGCTTCAGGAACCGATTCTTGGAAAATGACTATTTTCGGCCAGCTGATCGGCGGTTCCAAAATGACCGCTGGGTAAAAAAAATGGCTCCCCGCTCTTTTCTGGGATGGATTCCTCGCTGCATGGGCAGCGAAAATGGCCGCGCTATGGACGATCTTCGCTGGACTGTGAATTTCAAGTCCATAGGAATGCATTAATCGGGTTTTAATGCATTTCTATGGGCTTTTTTATTTCACATTACGACGTTTTCATTCTACACCGATTTCGCTGGAATGAATTAACGTCGTAATGTGAAGCACCACTGTATAAATATTTGTATTTTTCTGCAGTTGAAAACAGTGAGTTCAGATTAGAATATTCTAATTTAACTTTCAGTTTAGATTTCTCCAAAAAGGAGATTAGATGCCTACCATTTTAATTTTTCATCTGAATCCTGAATTTTTAATTGTGAAAGTGCTTTGATTACTAACTGTAAACTAGAGCCTGAAAACTTACTGTTTCAAAGGAATCATTACAAATGCTCATTATTCAGTTTTCTTTGTTTATTAAATTTCTTCATAGATTTTTAGTTCCCAGATTTTTAACAGGAAAAAATCATATAAAAAAGGAAGAAAATGGTAAAATCTCAAAATCTCCCCAATAAGAAGTAATGAATAAATGTGATTCTTTAAATGAAAAGCTGTCTAGTACGTATGTTACTTTCTAAAAGACTACCATTATGCCCTTTACTTCCAAAAATAATAGCCAAAATTCTGTTGCTTAGCATAGTAAATTGCACTGGAGTAGGCTCATTGAATCAGTAGAATTTTGGTATGTCAGCTCTTCTATAAATTCCAGTGATTCAAATGGACCTCCTCTAATAGTGACTTACTTTAGCACAGTAAGTCATAGTTACAGTAAGCCTATTTGGATCAGCTGAACATGTGGAATAATTGACTCATTAAATTCCCATTGATTCTGTGAGCTTACTCTAGTTTGATTTACTACACTAAGCAACAGGGTTTGGGCCAGTGTATTACAGATGGCAACTTTATTTATTACATACTGCTTTCAAGCTCTGCTACAAACTGGATTAAATTTGGTTTGTTTCCATCACAGTTCAGATTAACTATTGTTTGCTTTGAGTTCAGACAGTAAAAAATCTATGGCTAATCTATAATGGAAGGGAAAACTTTTAAATTCCTTGTGGCCATGGTGCCAAAGGAACATGTTTAGGCAATAAGTAAATCTGGGGGACAAGGCTGACTCAGTTCACTGTTACCTTGCTAAACTGTGTTTGAGTGTTACATGTCTCTTATTCACTATTTAAACCGGGGCTTCTTGGAGAATAAGCAGATGGCTTCTTAATGAAATGTAGTTTTGAAATTATGTGCCTTTTTAACAAGCTTTTCCCTCTTACCTCAGGATTTTCTGTGGTATCCGGAAGTCAATGGCTCAATGAAGCAATGTATCAAGTCTTGGATTGAAGTGAGTTTTATAAATATATTGCCTCTATGTCAGGATAGTCCAAGAAGCCTGTGACATATCTGGTCCTGAAGTTAATTCAGTGAAGTATAAATAAGCTGCATTTCATTTCTTAGCTGTATATGTTCTTTTTAAATATGCAGTAGAAGTCTGGTGTGTGCATCTATTTGTTTTAAAAATGCATACCTGTGTGTCCAGAATAGAGAATCCCCATGTATATTTGGGATTCTTCACTTCAGAGAAAAGACCCAACAGATAGTTTTTGCAAAAAGGTATTTCATTTCCTTGGAACTTAACTTAATGAAAGCAGAAGATGTTGCAGTGACGCATGGTTGAGATGAAACTGAGGATGGCCTGTACAGTGCAATTAAGAGGAATGGATTTATATATATTCATTAAAATTTTAGATTTGCTTAAGTAGAAAATGATTCCCTCTATATAGCATTGTTTCTGTTGTGTAATGTAACATGTCAAGAACAGCATTTCACCCTGAGAAATTTCTAGGGAACAAATGTTTGTACTATCTGGAGTCATAAGAACATAAGAAGAACCCTGCTAGATCAGGCCAAGGGACCATCTAGTCCAGCTTCCTGTATCTCACAGTGGCCCCACCAGATGCCTCTGAGCACATTAGATAACCAGATACCTGTCTCCTGATACCACTCTCCTGCATCTGGCGTTTTGGGGGCAAAATTACTCTAGTCCCAATGAAATTAATAGGATTTTTATGAGTCAGCCACCCGGTTCAGTAACTAAATCAATTTGGACTGAAGCCAGTATTCACTGAAATCCTGTTCTGTAAATTACAGCACATAAGGCTGATTTCCCCTGCCCCCCCCATAGGTCCTGGGGCTCCTGTGGCATCTCTTTTGTTGCTGGAAAGCCATCGGGGGCTGTGGGAGACTTTAATCACAAAAAATCTCCATCTCCAGGATGATTTTATCTTTAGCAGTGACTAAATAACTAAAGATCTTCTCCTGCAAACCCCAACAGCTTCCCGGTGACAAAATGGATTCCACAAAATAGCAGGATCTTCAGGGGGATGGTTTGGGAAATGTTTTATTTATTTAAAAAAATCACTATAGATGGTGATATCCTCAGGCTTACATGGTATAACTTACAGAACAATATTTTAGCCTCTGCATGTTCTATCTTTCAAGTTAATTCCAACTTACAACAATCCTAATAGTTGTCATGACTAAGGAAAAACAGAACCAAGGTTTCCTGAGTCTTAGTTCAAATTTCTATCCATGACATATAAACTGGCTCTCAAAGTGCAATTATTGGATCTTTTGAAATACCAACCGATAGCTTCAGTTTGCTTATTATTTCCAAATCAAGAATGATATATATTATAAATAAACAAGTTTATACTTGAGATGTTTTACATTTTTAGATGAAACTTAGAAATGGGCACAAATTGGCAGTTCGTGCTTATTTGTCCTTTGTCCAAACAGGTGTTCAGTGCTTTCCAGCCCCACCTCCTCCAGTGGGCGCCCACTCGGAGGCAGTGCCTGGAGGAGATAGATTAGGGAAGCTGGAGCTGCCTGTGAGTGGGTGCCCACTGGAGGAGGCAGAGTTGAGAACCACCGAACACCTATTCAGGTGAACTGGCACAAACCACTGAACTGGCAGTTCACACCCATCTGTAATGAAGTTTATGTAAACCCTGCAATATCAAAATCTCATGTAGACAAATTTGTAAGTGGTTAAATGTATTATAGTTATTCATATTCTCTTTGACAACACTGCCTTTCCTTGTATCATAGGGTCCTTCTCCAAAGCCTAATATAGTTGTAGCAGGAGCTGCTACGGTAAGTTGCTCATATAGCAGGAACTTCACTGACAAAATAAAAAACAAAGAGAACAGTTTTTTGTTTCAACTCTTTCAAATTCTACCACATTCTCTGCTTGTACCATTATTTTTCCTTCATTTCCTCCCCCCCCCCTTGTTTTTAGCCACCTGAGGAACTGATGTGTTACTAGCTAGTATGTCAGTGGTAGGAACCCAATATGATCAGGGTTCTGAGTCATGTGAAAACATCTGTAAGTAGAGCAATTCATCACTCTCCACTGCCGACTGCAGCCATTTGCTTTGTAAGCATGGTGGTATGTAGCATTGGGTCATGACCCCCACCCTGCTGACTTTATAATTTTCCATGCTTTTTAGTAATTCCTGAACAAGGTCTTAATGTTTGAATGCACGGAGTTCAAAATTCTCCTAGGTTTGCCGGCTTTTCTTCTGATTTATTGTATTAAATGTAGTTCAGTTAGTAGTTTTACCAACTTTCTGAAATAGCAACTGAGATTTGTATGTAATAGTTAACAATTTTTATTGCTGTAAGTTGACCAGATATAAATCTATTGACTAGTTTTGCTCTTATCACTCTTCTAGTGGTCTATCAAAATTCATAATGGAAGCAATGAAGCACTCACACAGTATAAGATCAACATCACATCAATTGCACCTCTTCTGGAAAATTTGGCAAGGAGTAGCGATGTCTACTGGATTTTACAAGGTAAAAAAATAAAGAGAGGCCATAGCTGTTCAGGTCTGAGGTGAATTAATTGGTTGAGGATGATTTTGTATATTATGCCTGCAACTTCAGTCTGAAACTGAACATTTGTATCAGCTTTTCTCCTAGGATATATTCTTGGAACATCTGCCCAATAATATTTGCTAACATTTGCCCTGTGTTGTGCCTTGAATCACTGATAATCCCATTACTAACTTTGTGTTGGTGATTGGGTTTCTTATTGGAGATGAACTCTCTTTCCCATTATCTTGGCAACTGTTACACTAAACACTGCCCCGTTCTTTAGGCATATATTGGCAAGCTGGGAGATGTAGGATATGAGCTGCCTCAGAAGACTCAGAATCTTTCCATTGTGTGGGGTTCTACCAATGAAAAAACATCCTAAAATGTCACTAGAAAAGTTTAGTATAGGACTGGGGCAGCTTCCTTTCTGAACAAGATGTTTGGGCAAAAGAATTGATGCTTTTGAATTGTGGTGCTGGAGGAGACTCTTGGGAGTCTCCTGGACCGCAAAGAGAACAAAACTATCCAGTTTGAAGGAAATCAACCCTGAGTGCTCACTGGAAGGACAGATCCTGAAGCTGAGGCTCCAATACTTTGGCCATCTCATGAGAAGAGAAGACTCCCTGGAAAAGACCCTTATGTTGGGAGAGTGTGAAGAGGAGAAGGGGATGACAGAGGATGAGCTGGTTGGAGAGTGTCACCAAAGCTACCCACATGAATTTGCTCAAACTCCAGGAGGCAGTGGAAGACAGGAGGGCCTGGCGTGTTCTGATCCATGGAGTCACGAAAAGTTGGACACAACTTATCGACTAAACAACAACACCTAAAACCTTTAAGCTTAGGCCTTTTACCTGTTTGGGCCATATTGGTATGTCTTTAGGTGTCCATCTGTAAGGTGGAACTCCAATAATTGAGAATGATGTGATTTGTAGTTCAGACATTCCAAATGCTGACTTGGAGAGATCACATGTATGCACCTCTTCCCTGCAAAAAAATGTTGTGATTTTAACATACGGTTTTTAATGGCAATAAAGTTTTTTTAATTATATGGTTATATCAGACTTATCATAATGGATTTCATCTTAGATGAAATTAGTACACCCTAGAAGTAGAATAAGAAAATTTAATGATAATCTTTTTCAATTTAGATCCAGTTTATGAAGATATGTTGAGCGAAAATAGGAAAATGATAACTAATGAGAAAATAGATGCCTACAATGAAGCAGCTGTCAGTATTTTGAACAGCAGCTCCAGAAACTCAAAAGCTAAAGTAAAAGTTTTCAGTGCACCTAGGCTGATAGCAGAAGAGACCATAATTCAGTCATCAGATGGCTTACATCTCCCTGAATCAAGCAGAGAAACAGTGAGTAACTGACTTATATTGAAGTGCCATTATGTGCTGATACATCGTATGTTCTTTGTACAGTTGAGATGAAACCACTATGTAAATATTCCATCCTAATGATATTCCTAGAACTAGACTACATGAAATTATTTCAGAATTGGCACATTATGTGAGCTTCTGAAAGGAATTTAAGGCAGGAGAACGCCAAGTGCTGTCATCCTCTACAAAAGGTTGGGAGAGCCAGTCATGGATTTCTCACTGTCCTTTTTCTGGTTGCAAGTTAAAACATGTGAAAACTAAACATTATACTTCTGTAATTTATATAATTTGATGCTAAGAAGACAAAAAAAAATTCTGGAAAATGAAATGTGGCCATGCTGACACAAAGTTATCTCTCTCAAGACTAAACTAGATGATAGTTTAACTCATAGTTAACTTTTAAAAAGTAGGAAAGAAGAGGAAACAAAAGATGAGATATCTGGTAATGGTTTTTCAGTATCTTAGCTTGCCTGTAAGGTTAAGATATATTTTCATACAAATGTAATTATATATAATAAAGACTATTTTAATGCTTGGTTATATGGGTTTTAAAGAAAGAATTAAAATAAAATTCCTCTATGCATTTATATGAATCTGGGTAGGTAATATTTTTAGGTACCACATCCCAATGACCAGCTATGTTTTTCCCTGCCCAGAGTGCAATGATTCTTATGAACATCCACTGCAACAACATTATGAAGCCAATTGATGGTTCCTGCTGCCAGCATCAGCCTCCAGTCACATTGATACAAAAGCTAGCCTTTTGCTTTTTTGCTTCTTCTGTAATTGGATACTTAATTCTGCTTCTCATCCGTCGGAACAATCACCGGAAAAACAAGCCATGCACTGATATGGAAAGTGGAGAGGAGAAGAAACCTGCTACTAATAACCCCACAGTTTCTACGCTAGAGACACTTCTGCAGTGCTTGTGTAAACTTGGTTTGATTATGGGTTACTTCTACATGTGTGACAGAGCAAATCTGTTCATGAAAGAAAATAAGTTCTACACTCACTCATCTTTCTTCATACCAATCATTTATATTCTCGTGTTAGGAGTATTTTATACTGAAAATACTAAAGAGGTAAATCTGTTTTTTTTTTTCACTTTCATTTTTGAATTAAGTATCTTAGGTGAATTTGACACTGAATAATGCAAACAGTGAAAACAAATCCCTTCAGTGGCCTTTGGTTTGTTTGTTATTGCCTGTAGACGCTGAAACCGGCGTTCTGTAAAATGATCCAGGAAATGTCTACAGCTCCCACTTACTTGGAAGTAAACCCCACTGAACCCTGTGGGACTTACTTCAGAGTCCCACCGGGTTCATCGGGAATGTGGGATCAGTAAGGATTGCACTCTAAATAAGCATCCAGAAAACTATGGCACCTAGGAAAAGACATACGTAGTTGACAGCATTTGCTAGCTTTGGTGGACAGCATTTGCTAGCTCTGTTGCCTTGGTTGACAGCATTTGCTAGCTCTGTGGCCCTGACCTGGAGAGCCACATGATGTGCATGCACTAGGGCTGGTTTCCCTTGTCCCATTAGAAACCACCTTCCCTGAGTTTCAAAAGCAGCCTGTCAAGCAGTGTGGGATCTGGTGTCGGGCAGAAAGATCACAGGGCTTACTGTCCTGTCCTCTGCACAGCCATTGTCCTGCAACGCTAAATAAATACAACCTACTCCTAAAATAATTCCTGTTTCAATGAAATTATACCAGCTTCAGATGTATTGGTTGTGCAGTTGTGGTAACTTTAATGTTTTTGTTTGATAGGAGAATTTTTATATTTGTTGAAATACCCATGTTCTCGTTTTATTTCATGCAGACGAAGGTATTAAATAGGGAGCAGACAGATGAATGGAAAGGGTGGATGCAACTTGTCATTTTGATTTATCATATCTCTGGAGCAAGCACTGTAAGTTTGTTTTACACCTTAATCATAGTTTTTATAACAGAAGAAAAACACTTTTGCAATTCACTGCTGCAGAAACATCTGAACAAGTGTAATTAAGCTTCTGCAGTTTAATTTCTGTTGACAATGTTCTATTTTAAAATTTTCACTCTCAACACCGACATTGACCATTTTTCTTGCTTTATCAGTGGTACAAGGTGATACAAAGAAAAATGTGATTTTTAAAGACAAAGTTTGGAAAAACTACAGTTTTGGACTACAGCTTCCACAGTATCCCAACCAGTGCAATCACTGGCTCTGCTTGCTATGCGATTCTTGGTACTTTTAGCCCCCAGAAGTTACTTTTTAAAGTTTTGATTGAGAATGAAGTGGCCTGGTCACATCCAGTCACAAGGCCAGGCACATGAGCAACCAACCAAGTGCCTTGACATCTTAAGTAGCTGCAATTTATATGATGTCACCTATGCTGGAGTAACATCTCAATATGATTCTGACCAATGTTAACTGTATTTCATGTATTTAATGTTGTCTTCTCTTAGTGTATCTTACTCATGTCATTCTCAGACTGGAATGGGTCCAGAGTACTAGGGAAGAGGTGGGGTTGGACATGGTGGTCCAGTGGCAAATGAAGACTAGCTCTCAGCATGAACACAGTTTCCTTTTTTTTCCTCATCCAATGAAAGTCTTCACTTGATCTGAATTGGATTGTAGGGGTAATTTCTCATGTCCCTTTGTTTGATATGATTTAGGAAAACTTGCTTTAAAAAGTGTTATTATTTGTCATAGTTTTAGGAGGAAGCAAAAAGGTCCTGTTCCATTCTTCGTCTAATGCCACTGTTGGGTTAAAGCTCTGATAAAGTCAGACCAATGTACAGACTCTAATTGCTGGCTTGTAGGGACACCGTCATTTCATGATAGACTAAAGAGGCTTACAAAGTAAATTCAGGTGACGGACTGGGCTTTAAAGTCCTATTTGCATGACAGTTTAATGAAACAGAAATAAAATTTATTTTAAATGAGATGATCTCTAATTTACTACTGAATTGGATTTTAATATTTTTTAAATTATCTCTGTTTTAAAGAAAAAACTTGCATTTTTATTTGCAGTTTCTACCCGTGTACATGCACATCCGTGTTTTGGTTGCTGCATATCTTTTCCAAACAGGCTATGGGCATTTCTCGTACTTTTGGATTAAAGGAGATTTTTGCATTTATAGAGTATGTCAGGTAAGGTATAAACTAACTTACATATAATTAGCACACAATTGGTAGCTACATATGTATCTTGTTATTTCTCTTAATCCTGATGCCTAAAATTTCATTATTTAGTTATTTATGTGTATAAAATATTTTTCCCCTGCTATGGTTTCCCTTTTAGTTAGGGATGGATGTTGCAGCCACCCTTGAGCCTAAGGAAAGGATCAGTCCTTCCTCTCTGGAGCCCCTTTGACTCTTTCTGTCTTAGCAAAAATTTCAGACTTAGGCTTGGGTGTGGTGCTAGCAAAGTGTGGAAAAGTGACTCTGGACTACAGTTCTCATTATCTCCCAGGCAGCCTAGCCATGAGGCATTGTAGCTGTTCAAAGTTCCAGGTACTGCAGTATGTCTCCTCGCTTTAGATAGTGGACACCTCCTTTCTGCAACCTGGAGTTGTACCAAGCTGTTGATATATTAAAACAGTGTGATGAAGTTCTTTGTTTAAAGGAGTTTTGGTAAATGCTTCCTCCTGTTTTCTGAGCAAAGAAAGTTCCTTCAGTGTAGTGGGTACTCAGTATTAACAACCAAAGGTTGTATGGGAGAGAATGTGCTTTGCTTTTAAAGTTTTCAAATAGTTTTTCCCTCTAAAGACTGAGGAGTTATATAGCAATCTAAAATGTGACGCTGGCTTTTCTAAACTGTTCTGTTTAGGTTTTGAAAAGCAAACAGATTAGTCTGCAGAATTGCTAATCATACATGCTAATCTGAAAATAACTCAAAATATAAATGCTGCTGCATCACTTCAAGTGAAATTTTAAGCTTGTTGAAGTTGTTTGTACTAAGCTGTGTATGTAAACTCCTTCTTCACTTCTTATATTTCATGACAAAATACTTCTTTATCACTTAACAGGTTCTATTTCGACTGAATTTCCTTGTTGTGGTGTTGTGCATAGTGATGGATCGGTCTTACCAGTTCTATTATTTTGTTCCTCTAGTCACTGTCTGGTTTATTATCATATATGTTACATTAGCTCTGTGGCCTCAGATAGTTCAGAAGAAAGCTAATGGTAAGTGTGATTTCATTTTCATAGGAAGCTGTTGGTGTGTTTAAATAGTGTAATGTTTGTTATTTTTATGAGCCATCAAGCTGCTTCCAATTTACGGCAACTGTATGAATGAGTGGTTTCTACACTCATTCATAGGGTGAAGTATGGGTTGGTGGTATTGTATTACCAGCCCTGCTCAGGTATTGAAATTCAAAGCCACAACTTCTTTTATTGAGTCACCATCTTATGTTCAGTCTTCTTTTTCTGCTGTCTTCAACTTTTTCCAGCTTTATTGTCTTTTCCAGTGAGTCTTAATAATTTATTTTATATTAAATAACATTTCGTTTGTAGTTAACATTATAATTTTCAGTACACAATACAAACAGTAGTTAATCAGACTTGTATTCTATAAGACAACAGCCAGCATCTTTGATTTGACTAGATTATCAATGCAGAAACTGAGAAAACGATGTAGCATGTATATATAGATTTTTGGGACTCAAGTAAGGGGGACAAAACCTCCAGTCCCTTGGACTTTGGGCTTGGCTAGACAGCTAAATTGGAGTAGGCTGGATCATTCTAAATTGGGTCTCTTAAGGTCACGTAAAGGTGCAGTTTGCCATTTGGTGTGATCCTTGCATCCACAAGTCATATGCACTTCAAGTGACCTAACCTTTAAAGGAAAAGGAAAGAAAGAAAACAAACATAAAAACCTCTTTGCCCGCTCCCTTTCTCCTTCTCCATTTAGGAGAAAGTTTTCATTTTTCTTCTTCTACGAGGTGCTGCCCTAATAGTCCTTTAAAAAATCCTTTGACTTCCTTTCTCTCCCCATCCATGGAGAAGCAGAGGAAATGTTTAATATCTCAGTATTATGAAGTAGGTAAGCCATCAAAATGATATTGGGAAATTGCAATAAGATGGGAAATAGACAGCAAACTATATGCTTGATTCAGTCCCAGTGATTGCATGTGCTAGAATTGAACAAGATGGAACAATACTAGATACACCTAAAAAAGAGTAGTCCCAGAGAGGACCCCAAAAAGGTATAAGGTGGAAAGGTTCTAGGTATGGGCCAATTCATGCTGGCATTTATGTTGTGTGGTTGCAAGAAAAAGGAGAAAACTCCTTTGCGTCCACAGTGGACCAAACAGCAGGACAAAGGCCCATGTAGTCACAATCCTAGACTAATTTTTTCCACACCTGTCCTGAGCCATTGTTTCCCTGATTTGTTTTCTGGTTTTCTGTTTGATTATTTTTAAAAAACAACCTAGAGAGGGGCTTTTTCATTGCCAGTCATGAGTCATCTGAAAGGAGTTGGGGAAAGAAGGGAATGATTCTTGTTGCCCTGACAACCCAGTTGGTGCTGTAGTGTTTATTTTCTTGCCCTGCAATGCTGTTCAGTAAGACTGTTGTTCCACTCCAACTGTAGTAGCACTTTGATGAGGTAAAGTAAGAACACATTTGAGCAGTTGTCTCTTTAAAATTATGTACTGTGCACAGACTACATCTGAATGCTGTACTATAATACTTTAAATCGATGTACATCTACTTGCTGTTTCCTCTCCATCCTGTATCTTATCAAATGTACACCTGGATAGATAAGAGGGCATGTTGACCCAGTTAATCTTTTGTTTTCTCTTCCTCTTGACACATGCCCTCATATAAATAGTTGCTTTCCTTTTGCTAAGATCTCTGAAAATTAGGAGTAACAGATGACTGAGTACTGACTGTGTATAGGATATTATATTTCCAAATACTGCCATTTCATCCTGATTTTGGAAGCTTGGTTGGGTCATGCTTGGCTAATGCTTAAATGGGAGGCCAACAGGGAAGTACTAGGATTTCCATGTATGACTAAAAGAGAATCCTGCATAAAACCCGGAGAGTTCCTGCCAGTCAGAGTTGATAGTACTGGGCTAGATGGACTAATGGTCCAACTCAGTACAGTGGTGCCTCGCATAGCGACGTTAATCCATGCAGCAAAAATCGCTGCTAAGCGATTTCGTCGCTATGTGATTTTAAAAAGGCCATAGAAACGCATTAAAACCTGTTTAATGCGTTCCTATGGGCAAAAAACTGACCTTAAAGCGAAGATCCTCCATACGGCGGCCATTTTCGCTGCCTCTTAAGGAATCCATCCCTAAACACAGCAGGCGGCCATTTTTTTACCCGGCGGCCATTTTGGAACCGCCAATCAGCTGTTAAAAAATCATCGCTTTGCGATGATCGGTAAGCGAAACAGGGAACCGATCATCGCAAAGCGGAAAAACCCCATTTAAAACATCGCAATGCAATCGCTTTTGCGATCGCAAAATCTTCGTCGCTATGCGGTTTCGTTGCTAAACGGAGCGCCCGTTAAGTGAGGCACCACTGTATAAGGTAATTTCTTATGTTCCTCAAATAACAAACAAAAGCTTGTTATTCTTTTCTTCTACAGGCAGTTGCGTCTGGCACGTTGGTTTACTGCTGAAACTAGTTTGCCTGTTCATCTGTATATATTTTCTAGCCTGTTCTCAGGTTTGTATTGCACTTCTTGCTCTAGTCTGTTCCATAAATTGATAGAATCCAAATAAGTTTTTGTTGCCATTTAGCATTTGTTTAAGGTGTATAGAAATAAATTAAAAAAAAACATTTGTAGTTCTGTGGAGCAGTCATGGTAACCACTGTACAGTTTTTGCGAGGAGTTAGGTTCTGCTCTCTGTGGAGAACAACAGACATGCTTTTAGCTCCATGGCAAATCTATTAACTGTGTCCCTAGAAATGGATGTTGGAATGTAGGAGTTCATCCAAAGGTCTATGGGCGGAGCATCTACTTTCACAAACTATATCGGCCTAAGTTGGCATCCAAAAATTAGTTCTGTTCTGGGAGGAGAGGATTGTTTCTTTGTTTTTGTTTTCTGATATTCTCAGTGTGCAGATATGAAAACTCCAGGTACCAAAACATAACAAGAAGTTCTTTCCGGTGAGAAGTAAATGAAAGACATGATATAAAATTGTTGGACTTTCTTGATTTAGAAATAAGCAAGAATTTGAACAAAACCATTTTCTTCTGCTGTGTTTTATTAGTGACAATACAATAGAAATATCTTAAAAGTCAAAAGCAGATTATTTCTGCTGTATGATATTTCACCAGAAAAGCCAAGGCTCCTCAAATGCTTGGATTTCTTATTCAGAAAAAGTGTATCCATGTTTTTTTGTAGAGGACAAATTTGTAGCTTTTTAGAATTAGACACTCTGAGGCCATGGTCTAACCAGAGTTCTTGTCCAGCAACTGGAGATAATACATTGAAAACACAGCTGTCAGCTGTCTTGAAGGCTGTGTGATTAATCTTATAGCCCTCCTCCTGTAGAAAGGCTGATTGGTGGAATCCCAGCTTTTATTTACTAGGCGATAATGTCCGTTTGAATATGCATTTTCCCCGTACAGCTGTCACAAAAGCTCACAGCTGGACAAGGAAATATTTTGGTATGCATTTCCTTCATTTTGCCAATACTGTCCACTGTTCAGTCTAAAATGTAGTCCATTTGTGACTTCTGTCACAAGATTTATGGAATATATTATCTTACTTTCCATGTTGAGATGACTCCTAAGTAAGAGAATAGTTTTCACAGTTAGCTTTACAAGAGCATTGTAGCTGTTGAATTTCTGTGGGTTATTTTTCCCAGTGGTGGTAATTGTTGACACGCCTGACTTCACATTGATTAATTTCTAAAATTTACTTGTTTTCGTTTGAAGTGTCACAAGACTACCAATAATCTTCTCTGGGAGTATTAAAGATTTACTTTGACTAAAGCAGATCAACACTTGTTTGATTTTAAGGAATCTGTTGCAGAAGCTATTGTTTTTCTTCAGTTCACACTGGAGATACTATTTTAAAATTAGCAATTTATCATTGTTAAAAAAAGAAAAGAAAATATGCATTGGGAAGACTGCTGTTTGACAACACATTGCAGAAGAAAGCACTGGACTTTTGAAATATATTCTGAACCAATTTGAATATTTGAATCAGCTTTCCTGGAGCAAAGGTTTGATAGTTCTTTTGAGTCTTTACAGAGAAAGCATCTTTTGCTAGCTACTCCATGATTTGTTGTTCTTGGTAGCTATACATTGGTTATGCATTTCTACATCTGCACAGAACTTCATTCAGTTCATTTAGATCTGAGAGAATGCATATACACCCTCCCCACCATAGAAACATAGTATGGCTTTGTCATTCCTGTTTAGTTCTTTGCTACCCAGGAAGGATTTTGAGGAGCATTCCCAGTTCACATGTCAGGAGTTGATTCTTTCTTTGTCTTTGTTAGACTCATAGAATCATAGCACTGTATTGCTAGAAGAGATCCCTAGGGTTATGGTGTCTGACCCCTGCTAAAGTATTCCTGACATTTGGGCATCTTGACGGCTGAGTAAAAAACCCCAGTTTACCATCCTCGAGGCAGTCTATTCCATTGTTGAATATTCTTGCTGTTAATTTTTGAATAAGTAGCTATGTATTGTCCTGGTGTCAAAAAATTCTTTGTCATTTTTAGGCAAAATCTCTTTTCTCATACTGTAATTGGAATCCATTACTTTGGGTCTTACCCTCTGGAGCTACAGAGAACAAGCTTGCTCCATCTGCCACATGACGGTCTTTTAAGTATCTATGGTGGTTATCATACCACCTCTTTACCTCCCATTTTCAAAATATCCAGTTCCCTCAGCTTTTTCTCAGGGCTTGGTTTCTTGACTTTTTACTTGGGTGACCTCTGGACATATTTTATCACTGCTTGTTCTTTCTGTCTTCCTGTTTTCTTCTTATTTCTTGTGATTGTTTTCCTTCTTATCTGTCATCATTTTCATGTTCAGCACATCAGTTATAGACATTTTGACACATCTTTTGGGGGACTTATAGCCTCAAATGTCCCTTTGCAGAAGTGCTAGAATTACGGAATCAAGTCCTTCCTTTTAAAAGACAGTCCTTTTACTTTTTTTTTTTTAATTAATTTTATTTCCGC